GTCCGGAAGACTTTCGAGACGAGTTTTAGGCCTCCTAAGCGCGCTTTTTTACCGCGGACTTCACTGTTCGCTTAGTCTGGAGGCCTACATTCGCAACGCACTGAGATCCAAATACACCCCAGTTTGAGGGGACGCTGCCTTCAAGAGGTAAGAAATTCATCAGACACACTGTGAGACTAGTTATCCACAATTTTGCATAGCTGCGTCGTTTAGATAAGATATTGGACTATACTTGCTGTCAACACCGTTCATTAGAGAGTCAACCCAGCTTTAAGGCAGTTGCTCGGCAAACTGGACCCCGTTAGATGTGTTGTCAGTAGTAAACTCCCATATGCACGGTAGCTCCCCTACCCTCCAATCATGCACCAAGTCCAGAATGCGCACTTCAAAAGCCCATCATTAGCGCCCATCCAATGGAGTCGGCTGGTAGTCTTTTGAAGTGCGTTATCAGGATAGTGCATGAATTGGAGGTGGGGTTGGAGCTACCGCGCATATGGGGATTTACTACTTGACACCACATCAGGATCCACTTCGCCGACTTACTGCCTTCAATTCGTTCTCACGAGATAGATTTCCCTTACTGAGTTGTTAGGACAAAGTTCAATTGTAGCAGCATAAACTACAAAATTACAATATGCTCACAAAGACCACAACACGTCACAGGACTTTCTCACGTTCACTTCTCAGATATCTTACCTATCACCACAGAAAGATTCAAAAACAGCATTAGCTTACCTGGATCTGCGTCCACCATAGCCTCCTCCGCCATAACCGCCTCTACCACCACCACCTCCACCGTATCCGCCTCCATAACCACGTCCGCCGCCGCCTCCTCCTCTGTCACCACCGCCATTACGGCGTTTACCGTGAGATAGTTCGACTCGAGCACGCACACCACAGATGCGTCTAAATACAAAGTATTGGCAGTCTGAAATTTGAAACCTTTTGTGTAACTCACGCTCCATCAAGTGCCTTCACAGCATCCTCTGCGTCTCTGGTATCTTCGAACTCAACAAACGCGAAGCCCGGGGGACGACGGGCAACCCACACCTTGCGAATTCGTCCAAAGCTATGGAAGGCATCTTCGACCTAAATGGGAGCGTTCATAAATGAACTCTGCTTGCCACAAATTATAAAGAGATGTAGATAGCTGCTTCCTGCTTGCCTTCAGTGAGACATAAGGAT